GAAAAAATCGCTAAAAATGGACGAAAAGTTAAGCCTATAGCCTTACTTTTTTGCTGTTTTTTGCCCACTTATGAGAAACAGAAAAAATCGCTAAAAATAGACGAAAAGTTAAGCCTATAGCCGTACTTTTTTGCTGTTTTTTGCCCATTTATGAAAAATGGAAAAAGTCGCTAAAAATAGACGAAAAGTTAATGCTATTGCCTTACTTTTTTGCTGTTTTTTTTTTCCTATTTATTAAAAATGAAAAAAGTCGCTAAAAATGGATGAAAAGTTAATGCTATAGCCTTACTTTTTTGCTGTTTTTGGCCATTCATGAACAATGGAAAAAGTCGCAAAAATGAACAAAGAGTTAAGGCTATAGCCTTACTTTTTTGCTGTTTTTGCCCATTTATGAAAAATGGGAAAAGTCGCTAAGAGTGGACGTGAAGTTAAGGCCATAGCCTTACTTTTTTTCTGTTTTTTTTCTCCCTATTTGTGAAAAATTGAAAAAGTCGAAGTAAAGGCTATAATAGCCTTACTTGTTTCCACAAATTGCATCCAAGGGGGTTCCCACTTTTTATATAGGCCCCTCAATAGGGGTGCCTACATATTAAATGGAATGGCTCGATGTGGCTAAAATTGAAAGGATTAGGCTTTACCTTTTTGCCATGTTTTTAAAAAATGTAGAAAGTTGAAGAAATCGGCCAAAACCTATAGGAGGGTGACAAGGCAAAGTTGGACAAAAATTTTCGAATATTTCGAAAAAATCAGGTTTTTATCAAAATTGATTATTTTGATTATAGAAGACCTTTTTGGCCACTAACCATTGAAAATCAACAAAAATGGGCTAAAACTTATTTGAACTAAAAATACTAATTTTATTTTTAAAATTATTTTTAATTTTTAAAAACTATAAGTGCGGTAAATTGGATATTAAAAGAAGCTGCGCGTCAAGCTGCTAACAATCCAAGCCCACATTGGCACCGTACGTTCATGAAGTTCAAAAGTCTTACCTGTCACTCGGATGCCATACTTGTACACATGATCGCATTCATGACGTAATTGCTGACGCAATCCAACATTGCTAGTACTAAGGGCAATTTGATTTTCGAGATCTCGTGTAAGGGATCGATGGCCAAAATTGGGAGAGCCAATCAGAGTGAAGTTAGGAAGATTCTCCAAAGGCGGGCGATACCACAATCCTTTGGCATGAAATGTCCACTGATTTCTAAGATATTCCTGGAGCATAATCCGTTCGCTTTGTCTACAGTTGTGGATTTTGTTGTAAAATTCTTTTGCAAATTGAGTAAAAGCATCAGGTATTCCACCTAGAATGTAGAACAAATGAACAATCATGTTAGCGCTGGTTCATATAAGCTTGCCTTGGAGTTTAATATTAGTATAGGTAATCATGCGATGGCAAGTACAGTTAATAATAAATAATTAATAGTACAAGTGATGTTCGGAAATTTTGCCAAAATTGGACGAGCCGCTGGGGCGAGTCCAATTTGGCAAATTTCCAAACATCACAAGTACTATTAATCCCTAATTGTACAAGCAACATCGCATGGTTACTTGTTTATTATTAGCATATGACAAAATTGGACACTTTCCATCAACATCATATTCTCTCGCCAAATTTTGTTCATATTTTCATTTAGTTCTTTTGTTAAAGCAAAATTTGGTGCTTTTGTTCAAGGGCAATTTCATTTCACATTTGTGTTCATTTTGAATCGGCTAAATCGAGGAATGCACATTTACATGATGCCATCTTGAATTCGTTATTAACTGGGGACATTTGTGGTTATCTTATGATAATGAATTAGTAAAATGGTTATCCATTAAAGTGCTCCTTTATCCCTTGTCTACATCCGTAGCATAGATTATAGATCTATGTCCGTAGTTTATTTCTATTGTCAGCTGGGAGGTAAACACGCAATAAAAAGTTTTCTTTATTAAATTGACTAGAGATATTTACTATGAAAAGTTGCCGATTTTTATGGCAAATTCAATCGTGTTCTCCGATTTCCCATCTACTGTGTACACAAATTCCTGTAGTAGGATAAAGACTCGAGTTTTAGAGTATTAATTAAGTCTCATTGCGCCCCCATGCGCCCTGGAATTGGGAACGGGGTAAGTCTCATTGCGCCCTCATGCGCCCTGGATGACACGTCAACTTCCGGGCACGATTGTCTAGCGCGTATTTATAGGGTTGCCTAGCAATGGTCACAAGTATAAAGTGCAAAATTCGGGCTTTCAAACGATACATCATGCGAGAAAATTGATCAAAAGTTTGCGAAGATTTTCGATTTTAAAACCCTATTTTTTTACAAAACCTGTGACAACCGCAAAGTGTCACAAGATAGGACTTTGCAGCAAGTTTTAAGGATGAAAAAGAAGAGGTTTTTAAAGAGTTTTACATATAAAATATATTGTAAAACATAAGGGAGTGTGCATATGTTTCAAGTCAAGTTCTTGTCCAAATCAAGTCGCGCGATTTTCAGCCAGAAAAACAGCAATTTCTTTCAATTTAACGGAAAAGTGAAGTGGGAAATCGTAAGAAACATGAACACTAAATCCAAGTGAGTAGTTACGATTTTTTTGAGCGTGTTTTTGAATGAAAATACCTGGCATGTTTTCATGAAATACGATATAGCATTAAAGCAAGTTCAATCTAGTTTAAAACTAAGTTTTTAGAAGAACATTTCGTGCATTTTATGGCATGATTCCGACTGTTTTCGTGACCCTACTGTTGGTCGTCTTGCTCAAGTTGTTATTTTAGCCGAAGTACTTTCAGAAGACAAGTAGGTTCAACTTGTCATGTGCGTATATACATTTTTGGCAAGAAAAATTTTGAGTAAAACCGCATTAAAACTAAGTAGAATACTCTACAATGAATACTATATCTGTTTCTATATACTTTGTCTCGAAACGAGCTCTCATTTCAGAGATAATGTGGTTTAAAATCAGTGTATTGAATTATGCCGTTACTTGGCGCGTGCGAATTCTGAACCTTCATGACAGGGATTTGAAAAGCTTCTAAAATACACTTTATTGCTTCATATATCCCCATAAAATTTTTAAATCAATAAAGCACATCATAAAATTAATGTACGCTCATTTTCTAAGAAGTACTCGTCGATTACCTGAAGGAAAAGTTCTAAAATAGGTCAGGACAGTGGTTTACAAAATGCCGTTCTCCTCTGAAATGGCTTCTTTTGTGGGAAGCCATTAAATTAATGTACTTTCCAAAATTGTAATTTAGTCGCGTTTTTGGTCTCATTGTTCACTTATTTATCATGGAATTACTTCGCTTGAGCTCTTTTAATAATATCTGCAAGATACTTTGCTATTTGGTGAAATAAAAGCTATATTTTTAGCAGTTTATCTTTTGAAAACTGCATGCGCAACAAAGTGTCACCAATGTGTTTACTCTCGTCTGACAAACAACCAAAGATGAAATACTTTATTTCACTCTTTTATAGCAATCTAAAATGCCTAAATATTAGATTATTCATTTTATTTGAGCATACATATTATATTTTTATACAATTGGTCCTTGAAAAGGACTTATTTCGAACTAGAGTCAGATTTCAAAAGAAACCGCCTGTCTGACATTTTACAGCAACCTACATTGGCACGCACAACATTTTAGCCACAAATCCGTTGTTTTCTCAACAGAAACAAAAGGAATTTCAGTTAAAATTCTTACCTGATGAATATTCAAAAGTGTTTATCTCTTTTTGACGACTTTTAGTGCTCTTAATAGCGAAATAAAACGTCTTTTATTTTGTCACCGCACGCTGTGTTTGAAAATGCCTGCTGTCAAAGTCTGAATTAAAAACACCTCAAATATTTAAAATTTTTCTCACCTTTTTCATCCTTTGTTTATATTTTAATTAGTAATTTTTGTACTTCGTGTTTTTCCAAACATATTTGAGGTATTTAAGGTTACCGGATACCCTAGACATGCCTTTCGGGAGATCCGCTGTAACTTGATCAATTTTAATCCAAATTCCATCAAATTTTCACCAAATGTAGTTAGATAAATGTAGTATAAGATGTTCTTATCACATATACGAAATAACAAATACTTATTCAGATATTTGCCGAAGTCTAAAATCGCGGTACTTCCGCGCCGTGAAGTTTGTTAGACGCCGGTTTTACTCAAATCCTATAAAAATATCATTTTTACTCTTCTCAAAGGTTGTTCTAAAAAACGGTGTTCGCGTTTTGTAGTTGCTTTAGGGGTTCATGAGTTACGGCATATTCATTCCAGACCTATGCTATATTGCAACTAATTGACAACAAAAAGCTTGTAACTTGCTTATTATTTGAATAAAAAGCTCGCGCGCACACCGTTTTGTAGCCGAAATATGTACCTATGCTGTGTGGAATTTTGTCAAAAATCGGTTAAAACGCACGCTTAACAAACTTTATTTAGTGCGTATATTCGACTCAAAACTCAAGTGCCTCAAAAAGCGCTTTGAAAATTTCGCGGGTTTTCTTTCAGTGTAATCAGGTACTCCGCCTGCTGTGACGTACTGTCATTATAAAGTTAATCCGATGACAGATAACGTTTGCGGCAAGACCACAATATATAATCAAGTCATGCCTAAACGAAAAGAAAAAGCTGAGGCTTAAAATAAGACAAACCAACGCGCCACAAAAAAGCGCAGAATCTCAAAAGCGACAAAAATGCAGATGATGGCGATGTGGACCACAAAGAAAAACTAATGGCAACGATGAAAGATAAAGCCTTAAAGGGTAAGGAAACTTAGTTTATCGCATTTTGATCTGACGATATTTTGCTAGTTGACGTTATAGAAAGCCATGCATTTGTTCTCTCTCTTCAGTTACGATGGAACAAACTTTATCAAGAATATTGAGGCTGGTGTTGAAGATCGGCTAAAGAAGCGTGGTAAAACTCCTAGAATTATACGGTATTTTTTCATTGTGGATGGGCACACGCGTTATATACATAATTGCACCTGGTTCACTGGATTTTTGCACAATTTGCGTTTTTAGTACGCCGCGCATCGTAATGTTTTTGGAAATAAAAGGCTTTATTGTAAAATGTCATTACATTTTCGTTCATTTCTAGAAACAGGGAATCGGTCCCAAAGATGCGGCTTATGGATATCCTGTCGAAGTACTAAATTTCCTGAGAGATATCGCGGTGATGTAAAAGGAGAGATAAGAGAAGTGAGTTTGATATTCTGTGCGCAAAGCCAAAGGTCACTATAAAAGCCGCGCAGGGAACGAAAGGGCTAATTCTAATAAAGCTTTTCCAGTTTTCCAGTTAGTCATGCACTTGTGGCTAAATTAGTAAATATGGCAAAAATGATAAGTCGCCAAATCAGTGTTTTTATTCTGCTTCTAGGATGCTTACAATATTGAGCTGGACATCTTTTGTGAAGCTTTGATGATCCCGAAGTTGTGTGTAGACTATTATAGGACTTATAGTGTTAGTCAAATATGACTATAATAATTAAATTTAAAAATATATGTTTTAAAAGGCATTGTTATATTATGATAAACATACTCATGTAAATATACTTACATATTATATTCTATAATTATGCTAGTAAATATTAGGCAAACTGTTCTAAATTATGGCCTTTATGGGTATTGATTCATCTCTACAGAATGGTTTTAGGGTCACTTTCTGCCAGTGATTTCTTTCTCTCCTCTGTGAACAAATTGTCGGTCTTGGGTTTGAGTTTCTTCCGACAGCCGCAAAAAGGGGTTTTATTGCTTTTGCCAGAATCAGCTTTTATTCTCGGCATTTTTTCAGCAGAGATTTCAGTGCAACGGAACTGTACATCTATACAACCGCATGTTGTGATAACGGAATACGAGATGACATATACACTAATTGAATTGCACAAGGTGTCGATTTTCTGTCAAACACATTTCCCGCCAAACATATAGACTTCAATTGCGTTTTACTAAATAACCTGTTTAATTTTAAAGATACTGATTTACATTTTTTTCCAGACGACAGGTATGCTCAAAAGCAATAAGAACATGTAAGGAAAAAAAATTCAATTTTTTTACGTTCTAGGGTATCCTGTAACCTTAAAGAGGGCCCCCTATACTTTTTGCGTGAAACGTGAAGGGCTTATTTTACTTCACCGTGTGACGTGATCGGGCCTCCTATGCGTTTTGCGTGAAGCGTGAAGGGCTTATTTTACTTAGCCGTGAAACGTGATCGATGATTTTCTTAATCCGTGACTCGTGAAAAGGCAAAATATTTCTACGTGAAAGCATATTGTCAAGAGGTATAGGGGGCCCTCGTTAAACTTGGCCATGGGCATTTAACTCAGGAATTTCAATAAAACAAAATACAAATATCACTACTGGTATTGCATTACATATATAAACATTGATTGTAAACACTTTTTGTTTTTCTACACATACATATAATCATATTAATTAAAATATTCATTTTGAAATTTTGTCCTTCAATGTTCTACTGCTTCGCAATAACCGTTCTAGGAATAATTTTCAATGAAAAACAGTTTCAATTAAAGATGTTTGAGGAATCTGACTCAGTGTTTAATTCCCTCAAAAACTCATTAATAATTCGTGAGGAAACTGGAAACACAACTAATTAAAACATAAGTAAATGTCGACAAAACGGAACTGACATTCAAGATAAAACGTTTTGAAGGGATCGGAGTACCGCCGTTGTATAGTAAAACTGTATAATTATGTGAATAATGTCGTGATATTGTATTTCACCTAACGCATACATTGGGCAATCAAATTAAACATTGCAAACAGTTTAACCACGCAACTTTACACATTGACGTACTTCTAAATATTTCATAAATCGTTGCATCATGTACTGCTTATGAACGAAACATTTCCAGTAGCGAAGAAGCGAAGTAAAACACGCAAATATTTCAGAGACGGCACGGAAAACAAACTGAACAAACAAGTTCGAAAAAGATAAATCTTAATTACAGTCAGATAAAGACGAATACTGAGATAGACGTAGTCGAAGAAATAGCGATAATACCATGGCCGTAATGCTAAATATGTCTTTAAAAAACCAGTCTACATGCAACAGCTCATCTTGCAATGATACGGACAAGCCGGAGATCTACAATTCCCTGGGTTCTGCCGTTCCTATCTTCCTGACTGTCTATACTTTGATCCTAATATTTGCCGTGGCTGGTAACGCTCTAGTTTGCTACATCGTCGCGTCAAACCGCAAAATGCACGAAGTTACGAACTATCTGTTGGTGAACCTCAGCGTGAGCGATCTCATTCAAGCGCTGGCAACTGTGTTTCAAATCACTGATTTTGTTGTGAAGGATTTGAATTTGGGTACGTATTTATACATTGTATATTAATAGAGAATTAGTAACTTTCACGCTTAAGGCCATTGAGCCTTTTTCGAGTTTAGCCCCGGGCACACCCTTTTTGCCTGGGGCATAAGTGAACATGTTTTCATGTTACGAGGGTTAGAAATATACAATTAACATAAATTAAATGTGGTACAATGGTTATATGGTGTAGAGCCTTGAATTTATAGTGAAATTATGTAATACTGTTGTGAAACAAATTACGTAATTGTTGCAACTACGAGAGTTAAAACTCTTTCTTTATCAACTAAAGATGTAAAATTATAGTTTAGTTTACATTTCCTCCTGTAGTAACACTGGATCAATAAGAGATGATCTTTACTGTAACTCTAGGGAGAACAGTCTAAAAACTGATAGAGCTCTCCAGTATAAATAAAGTTAGTTTAGTTTAGGTTTCCTCCTGTAGTAACACTGGATCAATAAGAGATGATCCTTACTGGACCTCTAGGGAGAACAGATTAGAACTGATAGACAGTAGATTCATCAACGATTCGCAGGATATTTTAAATATAAATATAATTTAAATCTCAACATTATGTTATTTTTCAGGTAATGTAGGTTGTAAGTTTCAAATCAATATGGTGAACATTCCCTACAGCTCATCAGTTCTAACTCTGACTGTGATCGCTATCGAGAGATACTGTGCTGTATGCAAACCTCTAACCTTTTACGATTTTAAAGCACGGATAAAATATATAATCCCTTCGATATGGCTGGCGTCTGTTATCATCTACTTTCCAACCTTATATTACTGCGGTGTCAGGTGGAATACTGATGAGGACCAACTCAGCTGTGACTGCACATACCGCTGGCCAAGTTTGCAGGCGAAGAACATCTATGGCGTATTTCTTGTCATAGCCTTGTACCTAGTCCCTCTCATCGTTATTTCTGGGTTCTACTTCCATGTGATTCAGAGACTGCGCGTGGCACCCCCCGGGGAAAGTGAATCCAGTATGGCAGCACATAGATCAAGACGGGGGGTGGTGAAGATGCTTCTGGTGACGATAGTCGTATTTTTCCTATCATGGACGCCCTATAATATCCTGTATTTTCTAAAGAGGATTGAATATGATTATAGAAATGTTTATAAGTATGTGAGCCAATGAAAGACTTTTAATTTTTAACTAGAGGACACTCAGAGAATGCATACTTCCGTCAGCGAATTAAGTTGTGTGTCATGTCAGTTTACCCTGCCAGGCAAAGCAAGACAAACCTTTGCAATTTGCATCCAAATTGAACCAAAATTTAATCGATTTGTCCTTGGACAATGTCCATTACTACCGCAAATTTTTTATTAATACGTTTGATATTTTTTAAGTCGTCATGCTAACAGACAAACACACACCCACACTGACACACACATACAAACGCAGTGAAATCGTAGCCTCCTGGCGGAGGTTAACAAAACAACTCAAAGGTTGGGTAATAAAATTTGTTTTCATTTCCAAAACATGACTCACTCAATCTTGAAGACTAAAAAGCAATGTCAACAGTCATAGGTCAATGCAATATGTAAATCAATCAGAGTCACTATCTTAATCAATTTCCGATTTGTCAGGAGGCAAATGGCGTCTCCAAAGAAAGTACATGTGCAGACAACATGAAACTTTACACTGCAGAAAATTGCACAAGCAGTTGTCAAATTAATGTCACAGAAGTGGTTTAGGACATGTGTGACAAATGTATGGTATCCTTTGTAAAGGTTTTGGACAGGGGTGGGTATTTATTTGTTAATTAATATTTGAGCATAGGTAAAAATATTTTTGACTTTTTAATGGTTGGATAAGGAAGATTTTTACCAAGAAAATATTTCTCTTTGGTGCCACCCCCCGCCATAAGTAATGACGGTCCCTCATATAAGAAAAACTAAAATATATATTTTTTTATTTCAATTCTAGATATGTGTGGTACCCGGCGTTGCTCTTGGCATTTGTCAGTTGTGCGTATAATCCTGTCATCTATTGTCTGTTGAGCAAGAATTTCCGAGAAGGGTTTAAATCAGTATTGTGCTGCAGAAGTAGCTGTCGTCTGCCTCGTATCAATGCGTCTGGGGGATATTCTAGCACATCTAAGACACCCACCTCGCGATCTATGGAAAATATCGTGTTGGAAAATATGAATTATACAGGAGAGATGTCGGAGAAAAGTTAAAATAAAATTTTTTTGTATTTCACATTTGATGAATTTGAACTCAACATACACACGTAAAAACGCACAAGTTGTAACAAACCTGCAGCAGACTTGTAGCAATGTTGTTCCAACAACTTGTCAACAGGATGTGTTCGCACTGCTTGTTCCCAGCTTGTTGACAAGTCCACAACTTGCTACAAGGTTGTTGAGCTCAACAGACTTGTTACATTTGATTTGTTTCAACAACTTGTCAACAAGTTTGTTATGACAATAGATATATACCTTCATCGCATATTCAATTCCAATGCGTCATCAAATCATTTGTGAGTGACAGTATTAATTTTAGAATTGACTACGGTTGTAATATTCACTGATTACATGGTGTGTAAAAGTAGTTGTGGAAGAGTTTTATAGATGTAAATTTCAAGTGGAATTTTTATACATTTATTAGCTTTAACCAGTAGCAAAAAATGCAACTATGGCCTAGGCCCTCTGACAGGAATCGAACCTGCAGCCCTTCGATTCCGGTGCAGTGCTCTAACCAACTGAGCTACAGAGGACAGTTGTCAAGCTTTAACCAACTGAGCTACAGAGGCCAGTTGTCGAGCTCTAACCAACTGAGCTACAGAGAGACAGTTGTCGAGCTCTAACCAACTGAGCTACAGAGGACAGTTGTCAAGCTCTAACCAACTGAGCTACAGAGGCCAGTTGTCGAGCTCTAACCAACTGAGCTACAGAGAGACAGTTGTCGAGCTCTAACCAACTGAGCTACAGAGTCAAGTTGTCGAGCTCTAACCAACTGAGCTACAGAGGCCAGTTGTCGAGCTCTAACCAACTGAGCTACAGAGAGACAGTTGTCGAGCTCTAACCAACTGAGCTACAGAGGACAGTTGTCGAGCTCTAACCAACTGAGCTACAGAG